AAAAAAAATATTATTTTCTACCCTAAATGTAGAAATATAATAAACAAGCTTTATATTTAAAATCAAATTTTGCAGACATAGGAGAACGCAATTTTATGGACRGGGCCATCTGAAGATAGTTATTTAATCTAGGACCTTTAGATGCTCAGAAAACCATGTGAATTCAAGCAATATACTAGGAAAAAAAAACCACCCTACTTTGGCCATGCTCTGCAATGGCTGTTGACTACAGGAGAGGATCGCAGCAGGAAGCGAAGTTAAAATCCTGAAAGAAGTCACAAAAATGTAGAACAGATCCCTCCCATACTTATTTTTAGGAGTCTTTCAGGCTGTGGGGGAAAAAGCCTGGTTGAGGCTTTTCCACAGCAGTTTTCATAAGCTTGCAACTAACGCAAACGTGGATGGATCCACGGAGAACAAAAATCACCTGCTCTGATTTCTGCTCTGGACCATTCAGAGTTGCTTCAGCCTCGAACTCACAGGCCAACCTGCAGATATCTCTCTAAAAGCTCCTCATCACTCATCACCACTCAGTATTTTACCCTCAGTAAAGTTAAATCATTCCCACTGGCAAAAACCCACAGCCCTTTGATTATCAAATCAAGGCACAGGACGGAGATTAAAACCACCAGGGAGCTCCATGTCACTCCTCTTAACCTGCATGCCCTGGCTGGACTTCCCTGCTAAAATTATCTCTCTCTCCAATAAATACAGTCTGTTTCTTTCTAGGAATGCAGTGATCCTTGAAACCGGTGCTCACTAGCATTCCAGTGCCAGATTCCCAGGGCCAGGATACCCATCTCTACTAAAATCACTGCTAAGCACAATAATGGCTCAATTGGCAACAAGAACCATGTTAGAATTTGAATCCTGTAGATCTCCGGGGCAAAGAAATAAGCCTGAGCAACAACAGCATAAAGAAGGAGCTTTATGGATCCTTTAAAATGATGGTGATTCCTCATAAAATATCAGGAGAACAGAGCCAAGGAAAGGAAGAATTCTGATGCAACYGTAAACAGTTTTCCATAACACATGGATCAGCTCTGCCACAAAAGAGATGTTTCACTGCTAACACTGCAGTAACCCACCAGTTCACCGAGACACACAAACACTCTTATTAAATGTTGCTCCTGGCAGATGCTTAATATTTACTCAACTTGGCATCGGTGAAAGCGATGACAAACAGAATTCCCAGTTAAAGAGACGCCCTTCAGACCTCCAAGTGACTTTGACCACATCTGGTGTCAGCCAGATGTGCTCAGCCTGTTATACCTCCTTATTCTACTGCCAGGTAAATACTACGCAGCTAAACAGGGCCAATTTTTTAGACCAAAATGAACGACCAGGTCCTCCATTTCACATGCAGATATATGAGTTCAGTCTGTCAAGCACTACTTATTTTTACCCTTTTCCTTATCATTCTCTGCGGTAGTCCCTAAAACATGGGACATTAAGCAACTTCACTACAAAAATTATATATATATATATATATATGCACACACACACACACATATAAAGTATCAAAGTAAAGGAGGCAGTTTGAGTCATGACACTGCATCAACATCATGACACCACACTGAACACCCACCAGTAAATTATCGGTGGCCCGTACACGGGGAGTTACAATACCTGTGGTTTAGGGCATCCCTGAGAGCCAAAATGAAATGAATGCCACAGAGGARGAAAGGAAAAGATGAATGTTATCAGACATGCCATAGCACATTCCAACACTACCAGCTTAACGTAAAAGTTATGTCCATGTGGGTCCASAGCCCCCTACAAGCTGCGTGCCAAAGGCCACCCCACAACCGCAAGTGCTGCTTTTCCTTTCCCAATTCCTGAAAAACCCAGCAATGCAGTTGCATGTCACACTGCCCAATATTTTCTACTACATTTTCAAAACAAGATCTAAGACTCTTCAGGAAACCCTGTTGGACCTTTCTGAAGAGCAGAGTTCTGAGACTGCTGGAAATAAAGCGTCAATAAGTCACCAGCGAAAATTCACACTGCGTGGGAACTATGGATTTGGGGGAAAACAAAACAACAAAACCATTTTTAAAGAAGTTGAATATGCTATTTATGAGACCTTATTGCTCTGAATCCAAGTGCATCTAACACCTAAAGCGGGGCACATCTTCAGTGAACCGCAAATCCCAACTCATCATATTCATCTGTGTTCAGTTTGCCTTTAGCACATTATGTGCTGCCATCCCTGAACAGCTTCCTTTTTTAAGACTTTTGGTTTTATAATTCATTTTGCCAAAATTTACAAGTAGAACTAAAGAGCAGATCCTGAAAGACAATGATCAATGGATGGACAACAAGRCCTGAAGATTTATGTTAGAATACACTTTGAATTCCTATGAGTTTCACCACCAACAAAAATAAATTTCTTCAATAAAATAAAATTAAAAAATGAGATCAAGGGATGGAAAATAGGAAGGCAAAGACAACACAACCTTTATCACATGCGACTGAAGCAAAAGTAGTAATGGTGGTAATAGAAACTAATGGGAGAATAATGTAAATAAGATCACCAAATACTGTAAACAGGGAGGGAACAGGCCAGGATGGAAAAAACCTTATAATATTGCAATCATTTGAGATTGTTTGACTTAGTATTTAATTAAAAAAAAAAAAAGGAAGCCAACAGAAGGTATTAGTATGTATCATGGGGCACTTAAAAGCAACACTTGACTGTGATTATTTCAAATTTTACAGTTTATTTGGCCATCTCTTCTACCTCAGCGTGAGACCCCCCCCAGCTCAGTGTGAGACCCGCAGCTCCTGAGCTGAACTTGCCACGACCAACTGTGRGCACCTGGGGGGAAATGCACACAACAGGCACGGGCCTGCTGATGGGAATGGCCCTGTCTGCAACCCAGTTAGTGCCTTTTCCAATCGGTTTAATGAAAAAAAAAAAAAAAAAATCACACCTATGCATTCAAATAACACAAACAGAAATAATTCTTCCTGGGCTCATGATTCCTACCAGCTAGCATATACCGCAGTTTTCAGGGCTTTTTTTTCAAAAATAGACCAGGAAAATGTTTAAGTTTCAAACCAAGTGAACTGGCTCAACTGAAACATCCATATCAAATTTGAAGGCAATTAAAACCGCAGTGGAAATTAAACCATTAAAAGTTGTWGTATAAACAAAAAACATAAACTGCTGGCATAAAATGTAATCATTCAACTCATGAGGAAAAAGAAAAAAAAAAAAGCCTGTGCAATTAGCAGAAGATGTAATCAAACATCTACACACTTACAGACACACATTGAATATACAGGGAACTGGCAAACAAATCAAGGATGAAGAAGGGGAAAAGGATAAAACTTACAACTCTGCATTAGATCACAGACAACATTTTAAAAGATGCAGAAGCCCTAATCCTGCAAATTTATGTGCATGTTCCTTACATTATGCAAAATCCAGCCCAATGAACTCAAGGAACTCGAGAATAAATGTGCATAAAGTTATTTATGCCCACGCCTGTATGGTTCCTGTAGGTCTGSGGGCTTAAACAGCCAGCTCAGAGGCAAGGACAAACAGCTTGCCCAATATTTGGCTTACACTTGACAGCAACTCCAAAAAAGGGTAACAATCTAACAGAACTTCAACAAACCACTTTGTTAAATAAGCTTTAATTTTTACTTTATTTCAACCCACGAGAAAGCCTGTTCACTTACAATACACAAGACTATCCTATTATCTATCTATATTTAAATAGATAGATTTATACATATAATATAAAATCAGACAATACAGTTTGCTGAAGCCCAAATATATAAAAGTTCTTGATGAAATCTTAAGCAAAGGTTAATTTGACTTTAAGGTCTGGATTCCAAAAAGAAACAAGAGATCTAATCCAAGATTTTAGCCTACTGCAGTGCCATATAGTCCTTTTTAAGTGACAGCTATCAAAAAAGTGCTTCACTACCTGCCCTTTTCACACTGTATATTCAAGTATTTGCACTGTAATCTAACATCAAAAGGAACTTCGAAGGCTGTTCAGCTGCTCTCTCTCACAACTGCCTATCATGGCTGGAAGATTAAGGCACAGCAAACCCTATTCATAAACAGGCTTTCAAATATCTCAGCCTCAACTTGAGGGACAAGCTGCCCCCTGTTCACATACCCCTGGAGCCAAATACCCAGCATTTCGAGGGGAAATTCCCCCCTARACTTTCATTTCACTTCTTTCAAGAGACCAGCAAACTTGGCCATTTTCAGTGGCATTTCTGTTCACGCTCATAGGAACGGTGCAGTCAGCTTACCGTGTGGTAGCCTCTAGGCAGAGGTGGTTTCCCCACAGGATAGGGATCAACAGTGTCAATAATCGTCTGGCGCTCCCCTTTTTGGTTGATTTTCCTAAATCTTCTTCGCGACTGCCTATGAGAAGCTTGGCGCTGAAAATACTCTTCATTTTCATCCATATAATCGACCTATAAGAAATGCAGCACAGTGTCATTTCCCCAAGGAAGGAAAAATGTTACTGCTTGTTAGCAGCACCACTAAACCCGTTTCTGGRGAGTGGTTAGCTACCAATTTGCTGCATTTTAGCAATGAAAACTCTGAAGTCATTAAAAAAATACCCACAGGAACAACAACAACAACAAAAAAAGCAAACATTGGTATGAAGAGAATGACTGAGTATAAAAACACTTCCTGCAGAAAAGATAAAGGAAAAAAGGTTCTTCCCCCCCTCTACAAACACTTCCCTACTGGATAAATTACAGAAAGGAAACAGTTGTGGGAGATCACTTGGTAGTTTTCCTCCTGACTTTCCCTGATCACTTGGGCTCTTCCCCAGCTGACCTGCTGCAAAGGCTTCACTCTTCAATAGGTAACACTGGTTTTAGAGTTTACTTCAAATACTTAGAGACYTAAAAGAAGGATTTGCAAATATCATTTATCATATGATATATCATATATATTTCAATATCAATATATCATATATATTTTTTTCATTTATATGAAAAAATTCACTTCCAAATAATAGCTGGGAGAATAAAAAATAGATATTAGAAACAGCATAATATGAAACCAGTTTTCTCTGTTTCAGAGGGCCTTTTTCAAGCAAAACSGTAGTCCTGAATTCCTCACAACAGCGAAAACACTGGAGCAAAAGAATTCTCCTCGTGGAAGAGGAGAACAATCTTTTTATAGTAATTCAACATCTCTTTTCATTCTGCTAATAGAGGCCACAACAACAGTAAAAYGAGACTTTTCATCACTAGCCATATATGGGGATCGTTTAACTCATGGATTTATTACCCCAGGGATCAGCTGAAAACTGCTGAGCCTCTGAACCCTCAGAGATGATCCTAGTTGACCGCTGGACTGAGGCAGACAACCAGAAAAGTTGGTAGAACTTCAAAATGCTGGTTAAAATGTCAAACTGCTGAAAGTAAACTTAGCTCGATGAAACATTCAACCTGAGATTAATACTTTAAAACATCTGTGCTTAACTATAATAGGAAAGCAGCTGCCCTTAAAATCCTGTTCCACTATTYTGTTTACATAAGCAAAGGTTACTGCTTTAAGAAATGTGCAAAAGTAAATTTAATGCAACTGTAACATGATGCTTTTATCACTTAGACAAGGCAAAGATGCATGCAGGAAATGGCAAGAAAGTTGAATAAGACATAAAAAAACAGGTTATTGAAAGATAAAGTGTAGAAAATAAAGCTCTACTTAAAGTATATTTGGAGGAAAAATAACAGAAGTGTTCTCACCACAATCATTTCAGACGGCTCCAAAACAATGCATTCACAGCCCCGCCTGAAGCTGCCTGCMGAACGCTTGCCAAAGCTGAAAAGAACAGGAATATTTAAATCAGAACAAAAATCAGAGCCATAAGACAATCTTTAAGACAGTTACATTTTCTCCAGAGAGTGAAAAGCATATAAAGATATACAAAASTCTGTGCAGCCCCAAAACTCCATATAACAGTTCTCCTTCACCTAACCAATGCCCAAAGACAGGAGCAGACGTGAATTTTTCAAGTTACGTAGTTTACTGAAGGTACCTGCTGCATAACCCCACCGACACCAAAGCAAGTGTCAGTCACGTACTGATGAAGATGCATGGTTGACTCTAGACTACATCACAGGCRGCTTAAACTAATAGCCAGTTGCTTCTGATGTTACGGTATTAAATTACCTCACTGACCTGCATGACTAAGGAAGGCCAAATAGCACACCTGAGAAAAGAAAGTGGAAAGGCTCATCAACCTCAATTAGCCTCCCTCTATATAGAAATAATAAATAAATGCAAAATGTGAGTATGCTGAACGCGAGATCTTTACCCAGCTGAAGAGATGGGGGCAGGAGGCTGTSCAGCCTTTCCTCCCCTATCCCTCCTTAATGCAGCAGCTAGGCAAGGTGTGCTCTGCCTTCCCGTGCAGGAGAGGGAAGGCATTCAGGAGGAAGCTTCATTCCTGYGGGAAGGAAACAAACTTGCCTCTGTTAAAGGAGCCCTAGCGCCTGCAGGCTCCCCTGCAGCTCCCCGAGGAACAGGGTGCAGGCAGCCRCACGCAGCGCAGTGCCATGGATGTGTGCATATGTGTATAAATATATGTATGTAATATACAATATTATACATACATACACTGTATTGTATATACATAACGTACTGTATACACATACAATGCATGTAATATACAATAATATATGTATGTAAATATATGTATGAATAAAAGAGATAAGAGGAAGGGAAGTTGGAAGATTTTTTTAAAGGCAGGTATTAAACAATTTAAAAAAAAAGCCAGACTCAAAAAGATTCTACATTTGCAATTTCAGCTGATTAACTAATGCACAGTCACCACACACACTTCAGCTTTTAAAAAGTTACTTTTCCACAAGTACTTTATTAGCCTATTTAACATGGAGGAACATATATAAGATCATACAGTGTCCTGCCCAGCACACCCAGCCGGTTTATGGCCATGCGCCTGTCCGGCCTGGGGATTAGCAGAAATGAACAGTTTAACTCGCTACCCTAAAGGCTAATCTCTTGACAACAGCACTTTTAGAGCTGGAAAAGGAGGCAGGCAGATATTGAAAAGAAATGCCAGCTGTGCTTATTCATCAAAATAATAATCGTGTTTAATGGTACATGGGACTTCTACAATAGAAAAATTTTTACAGAATACTAAGCCTCTTGAAAAGAAACATTCAGTAGGGGGGAAAAAAGGAAAAAAAGGATAATCTCCCAACAAAACATGTATTTTCCTAGAGGCAAACACATGCTTCCGTCTACAGCTCAGCAGAAAAACACGGGGTGCTTTACTACATGATCTTGAGTTTTATATAGTTTAAACTACCTTAMAGACACCAGAAAATGAAACCAATAACGTGATTCATTAGACCATTGAAAAAGTGACAAACTTATTTTCTTAGCCATTAACCTGATTCATAGACATAATTTTTCCTTAAAAGTCTCAGGGGCAGAGAAGGAAAAAAAAAATCAAAAGTAACAATGCAAACATGATAAGAAAGTCAATTTATTTGATTGAAAACACTGAAATATTTCCTTGTCTCCTGTAGATCATCTTCTGCTCACAAACCTGGTTTTTGGCCTAGAATAAAGTATTTCTGTATTTTTTCTGTCAGCACATCTTCCAGCCTCCAAGAGATCACTGATTCCAAAAGAAAATGCACAGAATGCTCTGCCACCCCCATAGTCCTGTTGCCCTGCTATCTCTAAGCATCTCTGAACTTTATACTTCTGCCCTTGATAATAACTGTTGCCACCACTCAAAACTTCCAAGCACTGGCTAATACAGCAAAAATAAATAAATAAATAAATAAATAAATAAATAAATAAATAAATAAATAAATAAATAGAAAGTGTGTTGAAATGTGTTTTTTCCTCCTCTTTCCTACCTGTCTTGAATTTTAACCTTCGGCACATAGGAAGAGATAGCCAAGAATTAAGACAGAGGGCATGTATCGAATTGCGACCCCAGTGACAAAATTCCTTACTTCTCACCCCAGATAACRCGCCAAGTCCCTCTGCAACAACCACAGTGCTGCTGAGCAGCTCGGATTCCTGGGACAACATCCCATTGAGGGGCACAGACAGGACATCACGTGTGGATGTTGTCCTCGACCAAAGATCACAAGGCACCAGGGTTGTAAACAAGCTCTGTCATCCTTATGAAGCATCGCAGGCAAGAAGGCAAGTAAGTTAAGGCCAAAGGAAGTCAAATGGCCTTTCAAGAGCTGCAGGGCCACGTGAGCTGAACCTCCTGACTTCAACCTGCTGCTGAAAACTCAGCAGATAGCGAGGAAGCCGCCTAACCTCCCTCGGGAGCTTCCAGACATTCCTAGACCTTCAGACGTGTCCATACAACCTGAACACACACAACCAGCCATGGAGAGGAACTTCAGCAACACGCTTTCCTCCTCAGGATGCCCTGCTGCCATTAGGTAAAGGGAGCCATCCCCAAGCAGGCCTGACACGCAAGCTTAACGGCTTGAGCCTGGCCCCAATGGGACATAAGCCTAGGGACACATGATGTTCCAGGGAGCCTCAGGCTAAACAGTTTTTGTGTTTAAAACACAGTATGGAGCTCTACATTATGTACACTTCACATTTGGTTCTATCCCAAAATTATTTGTTTCACTCGAAATTGTCACGTTCCCAAGATGAAGTCTTCCCGTCCTGCCTTGTGAACTTCAGTCCCTAAAACCAGCTCATGTGCAAGTGCTCCACGCCAGCGATGCACCGGAGAGAAGTGCAGCTTTGCAACTATTTTCCCTAAATCAGGGATGTGCATGTGGGAATTTCAGCCTCAGACCAGGGGACGCAATTTGGAGTTTATCTTCACGAGKGGGTGGTCAACAAGGGATGCAGAGGTTGTGACGGTCATTCCAACAGCAGCCCGGTTCCAACACTGCTGCGCTTCCTCCCTTCCCAGAGCAGCTTGTTCTGCAGCAGGTTTTTCCARTGCTCCTTCTCCTGCTACCACGTAAGCTCAGACTCGGGGTTCCTTGAGGACTAAAGCTTCACAAGTGCTCCCGGTGCCTCTGCTAGAGGCAATTTCCCTTTATATCATAGCAGCTTTTATTCCCCACAGAGCTACAAAATGTAAGCTGTGAATATAGAGGTATATAAAAAAAATCTTAAAGGTTAAAGAAAATACCATTTTATTTGCAGAAAGGCACTCTATAGCAAATTTCAATATAGCAGTTTTGAAAGTGGATTATAAAATACATAACATTTATCTCTTACTATGTTAGGTATTCTCTCTCCTATGCAACTGCATCCTAACCATATCATTCCCCCAAACACCTGGCAAAAAACTAACTTCCTACCTGAGTACTCAAAAGCATTATTTCCAAGTAAATTCACCATTACTAATACAGCCCATTCTGTTTAATAAAAGTGGGTATTTTAATGTGCATGGCTTGTTTTGCTACTTGAAGGGCATTCTCACGCATTCTAAAAATTGAGTTTCCACTAGGTGCAGATGACAGGAAGGGCTCCCAGCTTTCCGCTCCACCAGGATAGCTCCCTGCTTACACATCTCATCTCGTAACTCCTTACACTCAAAGCACACACGCTTGGCCAAAGCACAGCCAGGCTACAGAAAGGACAGATGCACTCGAGATTACACTGTGCCCGTTAATAAAAGGCAAGTTTTAAGTGAAAGTTAAGGGATTCAGGTGTTTTGAAGTTTATATCACAAGTTTTCATGTACAAAGTCCTTGCAATTACAGAACGACAACTGGCACAAACACCTCAGTGACTAAGAAACAAGAAAAAGGGAATAATTAAGCTCACCAGCTGCATTTCTCCCCCTTCAAAGTTACTCAACTTGCTAATAAAACAAAGCAACAAACTCCCACGGCCAACCGAGAGGCCTGGAGCCCCACGCAACACGGGGCTTTCTGGCAGCACTCACCCGCGGAGCYGGCCGCTGCCGGAGGCGGCTCGCGCTGCCGCCCGTCCCGTCCTCACCCTGTAGTTATCGCGGCCCGGGAGGACAGAGCAGGTTTCTCCAGACGTGCCCCATCCACGTGCCCCGCTCCCCAGACATCCCTGGCCAGACAGCTGCTCTTTGCTACTTCTCGGAAGGGGCGGCAGCCCCGGCACACAGGGCGCCCTTATCGGCCGTCCCCTCGCCCGGGGCCTCCGCATTCCTCCTCTCGCGTCAGCCTAGATCCCAAACGGAAAGTTATGCCTTGGCGCTGGAACGCAAGCGCATTCATCCAAAGGGAGGCAAAATCGGGAGAAAATTCCACTGGCTGGAGAGAAAAAAAAAAAAAAAATAGCAAGAAAGGGCCTCTCTTCGTAAGTCTCGAGCCCTTTTTTTTTTTTGTACTTTAATGTGTGTGAGTGGCAGCTGCATGTTTACAATCAGAGAGAATATGCTATCTGCTGCTTATTGCTCCAATTGTTTTTGATTCAAATACTGTAATTTCTAGTTTCTTT